GTAGTTTAAATAATTTAAATAGATGAACATTAAGTTATTTGTGAATGGCAATATTCGAAACCAGACTCGAGTGCCACGTGCGACTCTCGCACGAAGAAGATGTAATTTATTTTAATGTTAGAATATGTTTTCTTTTCTGTTTGTATGTCGCCATTTTTTTGAGTGTTAAATAAAAGTTATTGCTGTGTTCCATCATTGGAATTGCTTCATTTCGTCAAAGAAGTATCACAATGGTATATGGAAATGCGGTTACATCGTTCTGTATTGATCATTATGTCCCTCATCCATAGAACAATTTAGAAACATAATGGAGAGATATGTTGCGTTCAATATTCAAGTGCTTATTTCCATAACAGAGTTGATATATTCCGCATGCTGACATATTCTGAGCTTAGAAGCTGTTGTAAAATTTTTGGAAAGATTTTGAAAAACCAAATAATACAGAAAAATATAAAAAAGTGTAGAAATGTTTTAAGTAACGCAAATATTCATATTTTGGCCTCTTTAAAGTTAAAACAAAATCAGTTTTATAAATATTATGAAATTTAATTTTTCTTGCGTTTCTGTGCTGCCTATAGTTACGTTTACGAAAGTTTCGTACTCGTCATAAAAAATAAAGAACAAAACCTTTCACTCACGTACGACGGAAATTTACAAAGATATTTTATTTCAAATTTTTTTATATTTGAAGGCATTTCTACTTCCCTTGAGGGGTCAGTTCATAAATAAATTACAATAATTCAATGTTCATTTTCGCTTGTAAATTCAATCATATCATATTCTTTTGTTATGCTCTTTAATTATTAATTGAAACGGTAAGTAATACAGTATATTTTATAGAACACGATATTCTTGTAAAATCCTAAAGAAGGTATATTTTAAGTGCGTGGTAGTCTTGTGTTAAAAATTTTTTTTACAGTTGGGATGCGGAGAAACGTTTTAGCGTTTGGAAAACTTATAAACGCCGCTTTCATTTTATAAGTTTTTTAAACGCTAAAAAGACGTTATAAATATTCACATGAAATTTTATTATTTTAGAATAGTAATCTAATAACTATATAACAAAATTTATTAAACTAGAACCATTTTTTTATTTATGCAAATAGCGGACGAATTGTCTGTATGAGTAAATAAGATACACGTTTTGAAGAAAACTATATTGCTTAGAATTTTTGTGAAAATCTGCTTATTTGTCACTGAATCTACTAACATCAGAAAACGTTTCTATTTTTAATTAACTACGAAGGAAAACATTTCGCTCTTCCGTATTGTGTAAAGCCCCTGAATATTTTCTCCAAATTTAAACTGGCTGAACCTCCTACGCTACACATGTGAAATTCATGAAAACGTCCAAGCAGCTAGCTCGTTCGCCGGTATTTGCACCTAGGTTGAACTAGTCGGGTACTGCAATTTTACCGCTCGGCTACTGACAAATGGTTATATGCATCGAGAAAGTTGCTGCAAAATGTATGCCTGTCATTAAAACTATTTATTTATGCTTAATTTCGCAAAAAAGACCACCACTGATTTCGATATTTATTATGTATGAACACCGTATGTATATAATTATATACATATATGATATATATGTGTGCAACACACACACACACACACATATATATCTGGTACTGAATCACCTTGTATATATATATATATACAAGGTGATTCAGTATTGAGTACCAGATAGACAAACTTGCAGGATGTGTAGGGGGTACAGAGACGACTCGGAATCACATAGGAACGCAGGGTCGCAAATGTCGTAGTTGTGAGCTACGGTGCAAAGAAGCAGAGAAAAGGAACAGAAACAGCAACACATAGAGATAGAAAACATAACGGAATAGAAAACGTTTTATTGAAAGGTTGTACTACAACAGGTGTTCGAAATTACGACCAGAATCCGTCTGGCAGGCCTGAAAGCGGCGCTGCATGGAATTCCTTACGTTCTGGAGGATTCTTGGCATGTCCCGTATGCTTCCGGCAGCTACAGACATTCGAGCGATCAGGTCTTCAACTGAAGGAAAAGGCGTTTCGTACACCAAACTCTTTATGTGACCCCAGAAGATGTCCATGCATGATAGGTCCGGTGTCGGTCCATGTGGTACCAGCATGATGGGGCTCCTCTACATTATGCGATTGACGTCTGCCGACATCTCGACGTAACCTTTGGACAGCGGTGGATAGGTCGTGGTGGCTCGGTTCATTGGCCAGCCAAATCACCGGACCTATCATGCATGGACTTCTTCTGGAATCACATGAAGAGTTTGGTATACGAGATGCCTGTTCCTTCAGTTGAAGACCTCGTCGCTTCAGTATCTGCCAGGAGGATACATGGTATGCCAGGAATCTTCCAGAACATAACGAATTTCACGCAGCGTCGCTGCCAAGCCTACCAGACTTCAGAGTTCCAAATTACGACCAGACAGACGATTTCTGATCGTAATTTGGAACACATGCTGTAGTACAACCTTTCAATAAAACGTATCTGTCCCATTAATGAGTTGCTATTTCTGTTCTCTTTCTCTGCTTCTTTGCACCATAACTCACAACTACGACATTTGCGATACTGCATGCCTATGTGATTCCGGGCCGTGTGTGTACCCTCTACACACCCTGCAAGTTTGTCAGTCTGGTTGTGAATAATCCTATTTATACATATACATAAAATGATTTTAGAAATCAATATTGGCAGAGCACGCAAAAACAGGGATGACTCTGTACAGGACTTCCCAGGCGAACGAGCTTGCTTTATATTTGGTGGATTTCCCCATGCATAATATGAATAGGAGCCAATTTTCCTTTACTATAGTTACGATTATAGTAATGGTTATTCAAATATGATATTGACTATTATGTTTCCCGAGAAAACTTAATATATTTTTCGGGATTTGACTGCTGCCAAACTACCAACGTTCAGCAGTTTTACTGCCCAGCTATTGGTGGTCTATACATATAACACGTTCGGATACGTTGAATTAGTCTAGCATAATAGAGCTAATAAAATATTCAGCTTTAAATCCACAAGATTTAAAGGTTTAATTTTTTTATAAATGCCGTAATGTCCAATTCGTTGCATTTTGATAGACATCGAGAAAAATTATCACTTTTATTTTTCTTGCTCTCCTTCTGTAAGTTGTTAACGCTCTAAACTATAAATAAAAGATGCTTGGTTTGAATCCAGTCTAAGTAAGAGTTAATTTCACACGTTTCCTACAGTAAAAAATGCTGAAAGGTCTCTAAAAAGGCGCCAAACTGAACAAAATACTGTAAACTATAATTTATTACCACATGTTTTTTTTTTCCGACTGGGTGACATGCTTTCTTCACAGCCACTTAAGTTTCACAGCCATTACGTTTAGCCATCTAAGTGGGAGAAAATGTAAAAAGTATCGTATCCCTGGAGTATGCATTCCGATACGAGGGGCCAATATTTTCAGATAGCAAATGTAACGTATCTGTGGGCAAATGCACAGTTGATTTCTCAACTTCTGTGATCCAAAATAAACTACAGCCTTGCTTTTACTCTATAAAAGTTGGAAGTTCCATGAATAACAAAGAAAATTTCGTAAAATTCAGCTCATTCTCAGTATTTCTAGGGTAAACAAATTACTGTAAATTTGGGAAAATTATATGATAAGGGACATTCAAATGCAAACAAGATTTTTATGTGCATCGTCCTTTGAAAATAGTTAACATAATCATGACCTACTGGGCAAACACAACCATGTCTGAACGTAATTTATTCCAAATCGGAGGTGAATGTTTTTTCTCAATCTAGAATGCATGATTGATCTAAGTCTTTTAAAGAAGGCCGTGTGAAATTTATAGTATGCTTGTCAGCCGAGAACTTTAACCAACGAAGACAAAGCTGATTTTCATTGATGCATTAATTCGGGTTGATATGAAAATCAACGTCAGAGAAACGGCTAAAGAATTTAAGATAATTGTTGATCATGCAGGAAACACTAGTTAAAGATTACCTTGAACTCAGCAAAGTAAAACCCAGGTAAGTCTCCCATCTTTTATTGCCGAATAAAAACAAAAATGTTTGTCTGCAGTTATCCAACTTCTGCAGGGTCATAAGAAGGAAGAAGACAAGTGTTTAGATTCTATATTAATATGTGATGAAAAATAAGTGCAGCAATTCAGACTAGAGTCAAGTTGAAAAAGCATGTGATAGCCGCATTCAACTCTCATGGGTAGCTTATTGACACTATATAAGAACAGATCAAAGGATAAGAGAGATAGAAGTAGGCAGGATATCAGAACTTTAATTTTATAGTCCCCTTGCCCTGTCTTATGCAGTTCCATCGCAATTGTAACAGAGAAAACTTTGAGAAACACATCCCGGAGTCTTCCATTCTTCTTACACTACCACTAAATTTCTGAAAGGTGCTTCGGCTGGCCAGTATTTTAAATGCCTTATGCAGTACAGGCACAGTACAGTGCTTATGCACTGTACTGTGCAGTACAAGCCTTCTCTGGGATTCAAAACTTGGACGAAGGATAGGGCAACCAGTATCGCTAATCACTGTACCGATCAGGGCGGGTGAATGGATGAACAACCAAACCAAAGACTTAGAGAATTAAGAAAGTTTCTTAAACATTACAGACATTTCCTTGATATTCGAATTAAGAAGCTATCTAAGCATCGTAACAAATGGATTGCAGTGGACTACATAGAAAAATAATATGCAAGTCATTTTATTTAATTAATTATACTTTACTAATAAAGTACATCAATAAATGAAGTTTAATTGAAAATTCCTCTATGTATCTGAAAGTCTTGCGAGTTTTGTCTTGAGATAAAATGCAGTTAATTAACGAATAAAAACTGTTTTAAAGTACATCTCAAAATTTACAACTATTTATAAGAGACAAACTAGTCACACTCAGGAAATTTATTTTTGTTCTGATGGAGTTGCAATACGCAAATAACGCAAATAATCAGTTGAGAAAAATCTTAATTTTATAGGAAACAAAGTCAAAGTATATCGCATTACCTTTCACCACCATGGCTGCAGTGTGATTTCTGGAGGCCACAGGATTTGTTGCGAGGCATGTGTAGTTCCCAGTGTGGATCTGTGTTACTTTGTTGATGGATAAAGCGGAGGTATATTCGTTTACTGAACTGACAGAGCCTTGGAGATCATCTGGCAGGGGTTTTCCATCTTTCAGCCAAGAGATACGAATGGGAACATCACCTGAGCCTACGACGCACGCAACTGTAATTCGTTTACCTTCGGCTAAATCAGTAGCAAACGAAAAAGGTTCAACTACGGGAGGAGCTGAAAGAAAATGCAATTAGCAATTATTTATTATTTTGCAAGAAATAACTAGCATCAATAATATCATTAAAGGATATTCGAGATTTTGATACAACATCTGAGAAGAATTTTAATAAGAAACGTTTAAATAATATGTGAAATTTTAAGGTACTTTTACATGGATTGCCTGTTTGTTGTAACGCAATATATTAAACAAAAGCTTTAATTATTTAAAGCTTCTTGATTACAGTTTTTACTAATAAGACCAAATTTATTTATTATTTGGTAAAACGACTTTGAAATCTATAAAGAAACTGTGGATAGTTTTTGCACCTTGGAAACGGAAGACCTGTGTCAGATTATCTCAAAACGTATCAAGGTCTTTATTCAAAACAGTGCCGATCTGAAATTAAATTTTGAATTTAGAAGAAAAGCTTTCGTATAATTTTGAGCTTTAGGAGAACTAGTTATAAAAACTAATATACCAGTAAATGGTTTAAATTATATACTTCCTGAAATCCATTCGGTAATCTTTAAATAAAGAATGTATTACTTCCCAAAAAATCATTCATTGATCAAGAAATCTTCTTCTCCAACACGGAAGTTCTTTCGATACTTATCTTCACAATAAATCGTAATAACAGATAAAACTATAATCGTAATAACAGATAGTAACAGATAAAATCGCAAATTCAATGAATTAAACAAGAGCTTCATTTACTTTGAGTAGTCAGATTAAAATTTTTATTTTTAAAGCCAATAGTAACAAACGTACTAAAAGAGGTAAAAGAAAGCTAAATAAATTTAAATATGTTTCCCATGCTTTCATTACATTATAAAGGTGAGGTCTAGAAAATCGATAAATTTAAATAATAGTAATCGAAAAGAGTGAGTCTGCAGAAATAAATCTTACTAATAGATGTGCAGTTTTGCGTGGTTTCTGAAGACATGGGGCAGTTCCATACCCCAAATATTTACTTTAACACCAAAAAGTAATGTAATTGTACCTATGTAAATGGGCTTTTATTTCTTGCTTTTTTAATTAACTTTGTTTCTTGGTTTATTAAAATTGAGAAGCCTCAATGCAACCGAAAACAGAAATACTGATTGGGAATATTTGAGAAGTACATGGAAAAGAGAGAAAGGGGCATTTTATAGTTAATTTTATGATTAAGGGTTATATACAAAACACATGGAGAAGTAGAGCAAATTGGATTCTGAAGAATTATAATTTTATTATTAAAAAAAAAAAGAAGAAAAAAAAACTCTTCTAGCCTAAAATGTTTCAGAATGCGTACATATTAGAAAAGCATATACATATTATATAAGAAATTGTACGAGAAAGACAAACCTACATAAAAATTTGAAAACCAAATGACGCTTTTCATAAAATAATTTTGAACGTTAAACCAATGTGCAAAGAAACGTGCAAAAAAGATTTAGCCATTTAAATAAGAAAACACAAAAAACAAAGACTATATTTAACCGAAACCATAATGATAAAATCTCTCTGTCTGATTTTGGCAACAGAATTTCAATTTACTTCTTTTACTTTCATCTCTGACCATTTTTACTTCCTTGTACGAAGTAAAAAGGAAGTATTGTAATCGCAAAAAGTTTCAGGCAGCATATTTCAACGAAAATATCCATTTTGACCGCTTTCGAATGCAATTTAACGATGTTTTTGCGTGATATCTGTACGTAAGGACAGAATAAAAGACTATTTTCCTCCCAAAAAAAAATTGCTTTAAAATGAATACTGAAGAGAATTTTTCGTGGCGTCTGTACGAACGTAATTAAAAAACGAGTAGCTAAAACAGCGCGCCAAATGTAGCGTACGCGCTGATTTCAGATTGCGTAAGTTTATATAGTTCTATATTTCTTAAGACGAATTGAAATACTAGTTTAATTTTTAAATCATTTTTTGATTTTAAATCCTTTTTAAATATTCTATGGATTTAACAATTTGGGAATTGTCCATGACGAAAAGCCGGCAATAGAATTTTGGGTAAAGTGCAGAATCATCCACTGTTTGACGCGTTTTTAAGAATTGCACATACTCGGTCTCTATGTGCACATCAACCTATTTTCACTTTAAAAAAAAAAAACAGAATTGCACAAAAATGGCACTGCGCACACCCTTGACTTTATTTATGTACACATCGACCTATTTTCACTTAAAAAGTAAAAGAAAATTGACAAAAATTCAATTGTTTTTATCCTTGTAAAAAGCGGCAAACAAATAAGTGAGCGATTCTGCACTTTACCGAGAATATTTTCAAATAAAAAAAAAGCATCATTCATTATAGAAACAATAAAAATGCATCATTCATTATAGAAAATTACGTTTGAACAACCAACGAGATGAAATTATGCTTTAGCGATAAGTGGGTAGCGAAATAGCGATGCAGGCATCCATTCAGTTATGTTTAGCAATTTTTATATAAATTATAATAATGATCTGAAATAGTTATTTACTCTTATGCTTCCATTCAGTCATGTTTAGCCTTTTTCATATAAATTATAATAATAAAGTATTATATGAAATTAACCTTTCATCTAAATTGAAACATCAATCTTAGATAGTTATTTACTATTATACCTTCTTTCTTGCCGCAATTATTAAGCTTGCCGCAATTATTTTTTGCACCATTGGCATCAATAATAGTTTGGCGATTTTTTACGGCCCTCGAAACCGAATAGTACCAAATATATTTATATATATATATCCACTCTGTTACCCGGCTCAGTGATCTCAGTTTCTTTACTCTTATATGTTTGTAAATTGTACATTTTTTGCTTTAAAAATGATTGAATTATGTTGTTCTTATCTTCCGGTTAAGGTTTTTATGCCTTTAGTAAATCTGTGGGCAATATTTTTAGAATTATCAACAATTTTAAAGTTGTTCAAGTGCCGCTAAGCCTAATAATTTTTTTGATGGCGGCCATTGCTTGTTTACATTTGAAACAGCAGAGTAGTGGATTTGTTACCAATCTAGAGAAACGTAGCTTTTCAAAAACAAAGATAACGCCTTCATTTATTATTGCGAATTAAATCATGCTTAATACTTTCTGGAATTTATTCGAGGAAATAAGTGTTTAAGATTTACTTAAATTTTAATAATTAGTAATTTAATTTTTAATAATTAGTAACTTTTAATACAGATATTTTGAGTTTTTATGTATTTTTGCCTTGTCGCGAAGTGAGAACTGAATTAATTGAATGAGAAATACTCAATCGTTTGTGAAAAAACTGTTTCTTTTTTGTTTTGTTTGCTTAATTTATTTTTTACATCGTTCTAGCTTTATTATAGTATTTGAATAGAACATGTGGCAACGATAGATAATTCTTTAAATGATATAAATTTTGTGTATTCTGAGTTATAATATGAACGAAATATAATACTGTTAAGTGAACCTAGCGCCAGAGTGTCGCTATGGTAAACAAACAGAGTGAATTTTAAAGAATGCATTTATTCTATTGTGGTTTATGTGCTGTCGGCGAAGTAGATTTAATTAAATCCAATAAGTTTAAACGAAATGCAAGAAAAAATGCGTATAATTCAATATTCCGTACAAGGAAGTCATGTGGTGTACACATCAATTTTTTTTATTTTATCCAAATGATTTCTAGAATTTCTTTCTTAAAGTTAATATATTCTCTGGTCTGTTACAAACCAGAGAATAAATATAAAGTATGCAACAACGGAAATTTTACATACATATTTTAAGCAAAAACAACTTTTGAACTACTTCCCTTAATAAAATTTTCATAACTATTGAACACTCACTTGGTAAACCTGCGAAGTTCACATTAATTTGTTTAATCTAAATTGGGTTTAGAACTTTCTGTTAACTTGTTTAACCTAAAATGGGTTTAATTTGAACACAAGCCACCTCGATGTATTTATCTCTTGCGGAAACAGTAACGACTTATCGTATGGTTCTGGGTGAGGGAAGTTGTTTTAATGCATTTGGAAACTTTTAAAAATCTAAAGCATTAAGTTAACGCAACTGATAATATAAAATCCAATATTAATAAATAGGGAATGTTTGGATGTGACAAAGCATATTCTTTACTTTTTTATTTTTATACTTATAAATAAAATTGAAATACTCAGTTGAGTACTTTTTCCTACAGTTAAGATATAATTATTAGTTTTTTTAAAAAGAAGCATGAAATATCATTAATGAAAGTAAAAATGAATTTTCAGATCAATTTAAGCTGAGCCCAAGGTTTTTCCAAATTCTTCTTTTATAGTAAATATTTACACTCATATTTTTTGTAATAAATAAAATATGCCTTTTCTAATTTTTACAAGATTAAGATAGTAAACTACACTATGTAAGTAATTCCTATTTTTGTAATTTAGAATATTGTTGCGTGCGTACGGTTCGTTATGAAATGAATGCACAAGTCTGATGAAAAATGAACAAAAGTTTATTATTGTCACAACAAAAATGCTTAAATTTCCTCAAATTATCATGCAGTATTACAATATCTCACAGTAGTTCTCTTCTAACTACTCAAATGTCCAATAGAACGTAATTCTAAAAGAGCGAATTCGCTACAATCAACAAGAGCAGTTTTCTAAACAACAACAAACTAAGCAACTACTACAAACTGAGATGTTTTCCTCCTTTTATAAGATTTTAAAATCACGCGCTAGAATTTTCCAGTACTTTCTCGAAATCAAAAAGAGATATTTATTTATTTAATGCACGCGCTCTTGTATTTTCAATTTTCCGGCTTAGCTTTCTTTTAATATTCGTCACGCGCTGCACTGCGCGAGAAATAAAACCATTTAATTTATAATTGAACTAACATTAGAATTTTAAATACCAAATTCGTAACACTGCCCCCTTCCCAAGGACTGCACGTCCCGGGCAGTACAATCCCTGGACAGGAAGCTAAACTTACAACTGTGGCATAAATGCATTAATAAGCATTACATTAAAATAATAAACAACATGAACAATAAATGCAATAAATAAAACAAATCAAATGCTATCAAATACAA